GGGGGGGGGCCCGCCGGGACCCTCAAGAGTCCACGTGTCCCGGTTCAGTTCCGTCTGTCCCGAGCGGGGTTTCCGCACCCAGTTCCGTGTGTCCCGGGGGGGTTCCCATCCCCTCGGGAAGTCCCGAGGGTCCCTCTCCGGTTCCACGTGTCCCGGGAGAAGGGATGGGGGGATCCCCGTACCAGTTCGGTGTGTCCCGGGGGGGTTCCCGCACCAGTTCCGTGTGTTCCGGGGGGGTCCCCGCACCAGTTCCGTGTGTCCCGGGGGGTCCCCATCCAGGTTGGGGAGTTCCCGTTCCAGTTCCGTGTGTCCCGAGGGTCACCGGGGGGCTCAGCACGCCCCGATGGCGCGGACCAGGAGCCCGAAGGCAGCGGCGGGAGCCCCCCCCAAGCAGCGCCCGGGCGGCCCCGGGGGCACCGGCGGCTCCTCCGCCTCCAGCCGCGCCCGTTTGCTCGGGACCGGCCCCAGCCCCGGCCCCGCCGAGCCGCCGCTGCGCCGCTTCCGCCCGGCCCGGGGGGCTCCGGGAGGCCGGGGGGCTCCCGGGGCAGCGCTCGGGGGGTCCCGAGGGGGCGAGTCACGGTCCCGGCTCGGGAAGTCCTGGGGAGGGTCCCGGTTCGCGAGGTCCGGGGTCTGTGGGGTCTGTGGGTCATAGGTTGGGGCGCTCGAGGGGAGCTTCCCGGTCGGTCGGTTCGGGGGGTACCCGCTCGTGTCCATCGGGGGGTCCCCCCGTTTCTGGCCGGTGAGAGGGTCCCCGGTCGGTCGGGTGGGGTCCCAGGCGCTGCGGGGGTCCCCGCTCGTGTCCATCGGGGGGTACCCTCGGTCCGGGGCGGTGCGGGGGTCCCCGTTCGGGTCCCTCGGGTGGTCGCAGGCGGTGCGGGGGTCCCCGTTCGGGTCCCTAAGGTGGTCGCAGGCGGTGCGGGGGTCCCTGCTCGTGTCCATTGGGGGGTCCCCTCGGTCCGGGGTGGTGCGGGGGTCCCTGTTAGTGTCCATAAGGGAATCGCAGGCGGTGCGGGGGTCCCCGCTCGTGTCCATCGGGGGGTCCCCTCGGCCCGGGGCGGTGCGGGGGTCCCCGCTCGGGTCCCTCGGGTGGTCGCAGGCGGTGCGGGGGTCCCCGCTCGGTCGGTTCGGGGGGTGCCCGGCGGTGTCCCTCGGGGGGTCCCGCCGTTCCAGGGGGTTCTCTCCGCCCGCCGTGTCCCCGGGCGGTGCCGGTACCGGCCCCGGGAGGGTCCCGGCGGCGGCGGCGGCGGCGCGGGCGCTCAGGTACCGGTGGCGGGCGGCGCGGACGAGCAGCGAGAGCTGGAGGCTGCGGTGCAAGCGGAGGCCCCCCC